TCACAAAGCTTTTCAAACCATTAAAGCGCATCACACAAAAGCTTCAAAAGGAGGCCACAGAAAACTTGCTGTGAAGTCTGAAGGGGCATGACCGTGACTAATATCATAATTTATTTTGTGTCATCTTCCTCTGTTCACCAATCACAGCACGTCAGAGCTGAATTGTACATATTGCTCCTGTTTAGTGTGCAGAAGCGAAATGAGAGGTAAAATGTGTTTTCAATCAGAGCTGTTAACCTCCATGCAGTGAATCTTCACAACTACCACTTTCATATTTTCCATCCTTGGGACATACTATAGCAATTGTATTTACAAGGAGCTTAGTTCAAATTGGAAGGAAAAAGGCTGTACAAAAATGAAGCAGGGTAGACGAAAAAAAAAAAAAACACTCTGCAATCTGAGCTCTTTCTAGCAAATGCCATGTGAGATCCAGCTTATGGGAATGAGCTTTGACACCACAGGATGACTCCTTTGGAAAATATGCTGGGCTTCTAACGACAAAGAGGGGACTCCAGTATGACAAGGGCAATAATATGAGTTTCTTTAAGTTGCGAAATAGACTACTTCAACTAATAAATGTTTGGCTGATGCTGCTGGCTGGGAAATATTGCAACAAATTAGGGGAAAATAAGAATAGGCAGTGTGGCTTATATATATCATACCCAGTGCTCTAATATAGCAACTCTCAACCCAAAAATGAATCACAGGTCTGTTCTGACATGAACAATAATAGGAAAAATCATGTTTAATGGAAATAATAAAATGGAACTGACCTGCTATTTAGGATAGCAAAATGAATATTCCTGACCATTATTAAAGGAATGAGAAAATGTTTTCCTTGTTATGTGCGTCAAAGGCTGTGCAATCAAACTCAGCTGTATTTTGATGCAAAACATTTGGAGAAAAATATTAAAATATTAGAGATCCAACATTCAGAGGCTGCTTGTCAGCCAAGGTCCATTCCAACCGGGCATGGACTGCATGGAGAAATAATGTTAAATGGAAATAATAAAATGCATCTGACCATGTAATCATGCATATTTAGGACGGCAAAATGAATAGGCCTGACCGTTAAAAGGGATGAGAAAAGGTTTCCCATTTTTATATGCATCAAAGGCTGTGAAATCAAACTCAACACTATTATGACACAAAATATTTGGCAAAAAATATTAGACCGATGCAACACGGACAGGCTGCTTGACAGCCCTTTATCCTCAAGCTATAAAAAAACAACACAAAGTAGAAGAAAACGTGACTTGTATCACATTAAATTAAATAGGTTCAGTTCCAAGGAGAATAATAATTGGTTTGTGTCAACCATAATTTGTTTTGTGTATTGAGCTATTGGCTGTCAAAGAAAACATAATTCAAGAGATATTTCGAAACTAACAGTCAATCTTCCCTCTCAGCCTGTCATGTTAACAATTTTAGTGTTAGATTTAAGGACATTTTTGTTCACGTCTTTATGATACACAATTTTGGTATCTTGTTGGTTCACCACTTTATGTCCATTGTAAAATCTGGGCCCTTAACTAATACCACTTGAGAACTTCTATAGCCAAAACGTTGTGCTGTACAAAAAAACTCTGTGAGTAATATCAGATTAACTAGCTTATTTCACTCGCATTATAGCAGCAAACTTGTAAATCTGCCACCTTAAAGCCAAAAAGTTACTGCTAAGTAAATTTGAGTGTCATGGAAGCTCCATCTCAATGACACATCTCGCCACATGCATCTGAAACATGCATTTTGCGGTCTGCCGTTAGCTCTTTGACAGGACCTCACAGCGATACAAACCTGCCCTCTCGCACGAGAGCGGAGCGCAAAGCACTCTCCACCAGCATGCCACTCTGACAGACGTGGCTCTTTTCTCGTTCGCCGCCTCCTGGAATATTAAGGTTTTCACGCTAATTAATGCCACATTGCTCAGCCCCACACACACATTCATGCAGTCACACTCATTGATTGGTATTATTTTTTCCCCTCGTCGCTCTTAGGCGCTGTGTAATCTGTGGTCAGTGTGCTGCTTTTTTCCAGCGCCTCTTGGACCTGACATCACACAAACACTCTTGTGGTTTTGTGGTCAATCTCAATTAATCGTCCAGACCGGGGTGGCGGAGAGGGATTATTTCATACCGGCACACTTAACACACGCCTCTCTTTCAAGTCGAATTGTAAGAAAGTCTGCTGAGCTGTTATTGAAATTTCGACACAAGAAAAACAACTTGTTTTACAGTTTATACGTCTAGTAGTTATGCTTTATGACATCAATAAACTATCCTAACTGGATTATTAGTTTAAATTGTTTTTGTATTTTGATGTTTCCAACACTCCCAAGCGGCTGGGAATAAACGTGATCCTCAGGACTGAAACATGAATGACGTATAGCTAAAAGTTGTAATTGAAACAACACGAATGTGGCTAATAAAAGGGAATGAAGCAGTAAAGCATCATTTCAGATAGTGTACAAACAATTTTAAAATACTAAATAGCAAAAAAAAAACACCTATTTGTTGCTTGTTGTTCTTATCTATGAAGTCACTGAATGCATTGGCATAAGTCTGAATAACTGAAATTACCACATGCAATACCATTCAAACGTTTGGGATCAGTAAAATCCTGAAAAAATTAATTTACACAAAAAAATATTAAGTAGCTCAATTGTTTTCGAATTTGATAAATATGCAAAGTTTTATTTGAGCACCAAATCAGTATATTAGAATAATTTCTGAAGGATCATGTGACATTGAAGGCTGGAGTAACGGCTGCTAAAAATTCAACTTCGCCATTACAGGAATAAATTACACTTTAAAATATATTCAAATAGAAACTAGTTATTTTAAATTATAAAAATATTTCAAAATATTACTGTTTTTATTTTATAGCTTTGGTGAGCATAAGAGACTTATTTCAAAAACATTAATAAATCTTACCGACACCAAACTTTTGTACATTAGTTTACTTCTCATTTATTCAAGGTGATTAATCAATAGTTTTCCAGTGACTGCTGAATTTGTGAAAGCATATTATTTAGGGTAAATTCCCTGTTGAAGACCAAAAACACCACCAAAAACACTGTTAAGCTTAGCTATAAAGATGCAAAATGCCTGCAGTGCAACAAATTATTTAAATTGGGAAGGAATGGATTTGTTGTGATGGATGCGCAAAGTAGGCTCACACTGACTGCTCCAATCACAATGGAGATTCATTTGCAAATTATTCCTGAACTAATATAGCTCCAAGATATACATCAAGCTGTACAAAACACAAAATAATACAGATCTTATAAAACAGCTATTTGAGAACTAATGAAGAGCTTAAATTGTAGAAATGAGCAGAAAATGCTACACGTTCAGCTCAAGTATTTAGCTTGAAAAAGTATATTCTTACACGTTGTAACGCCCCTGTGTCCTTATTTGGTTGTTCCTGTCCTCATTATTAGTTAATTACCTTGATTGTGCTCACCTGTCTGCCCCTCCTTATCCACCCTATATTAGTTCCTGCCTCCTGTAGTCTAGTTTGTCGGTTATTGTGAATGTTACCCTGTGTGTCTGTGTGTGTGTGTGTGTGTGTGTGTGTATCCTTGTCATCCTCGTCATCCTGCCTGCCTCCACACACCTTGACCGTGACACACGTCACCCAAAAACATATTGCTGTAGAAAAAGCATAAGGTGACAAATTGTTCTTATGTTGTATTATATTTATGAGTTCAGGCCCTTATAAAGTACTTCATAATTTTTGTAAAAAGAAACAGTAACACGGTAAAAGAAGCTTGTTAATAATGGTGTTGCTCCATCAATATACAATATAGAGCTGAATTAAATTATGTAAAAAATTAATTAATAAAAATGAATCTTTTTGTTTGTCATATACTTTGGGACGAGAGAAAAAGAAACCAAAAGAACAATATTGAAATATATTTCAATGTCATCCAAAAAGATACTGCTATATTAAAAGTATTAGCACAAGGTGACTAATTATTTTCATTTTTAAATTATATTTAGTCCAGGCCTTTTTACAGCACTTTATATTTTTTAGTAAAAAAAAAAAAAACAGAAGAAAAAAATATATGATATAATAAATAAAAAAACAGAAGAAAAAAAAAAAAACAGAAGAAAAAAATATATGAAAAAATAAAATATGTTTTGCACCATGAATATTCAATATAATACTGAATTATATTATGTAAAAAATATTTTTTTTGTTTATCATATAATTTGGAATGAGAGAGGAAAAAAATTACAAATCACATTATCCTTCACAGACCATACCTGAATGTAGTCCAATATGTGCTGTTGTCTCTGTTTGGCTGTGGACACCTCAGAGTCAGTGATGGCCTCTCTAAAAGCCTGCTGGGTAATTAGAGCATCCAGATCCAGCACTGAGGACAGCCGGCAGTACAGACTGATAAATTTCTCCTTATATGAGCAGAAGTGAACTGCACATGGGAGACAAAAATATATAATACCACAGTTAGTAATGGACACTTTCATATAAGGGTAGTCAGATATTATTGCATTTCTCAAATTGACTTCACTGGGTGGTGTGCTACGTGAAATTGAGACCCTACGAAGGTTATCATTAATGTCCCAAAAAACACTGCCAAATCTTTTTAAAAGACGTTTTTGTAATGGAAATCTGTGGGTGGTTTACAAGTGTATGGTGTTTGGGTTGAAACTACCTCACAGTATAATGTTTAAAAAGTTGTTTGAAACTCTCCCCACAACAGCAGCTGAATAAGCTACTAAGTGTTCTAACTGGCACCACTGCTAAGCATACAAGCACACGGTTTGCCTTCGTGTCTGAAAACAAACCCTGCTATTTGAATGAAAATGATCTGCCATTCTTTAAAACAAATTTTATTGAATTATAATATTGATTACTTGTTTAACCTTTCCTTATTTTACACAGTCTGGGCTCAGCGAGGGGGGTGGGTTGCTGTCTGGCTAGCCTTGGTGCGCACTGCCACCCCGCTGGTGTCTGCATGTGTGTGTGTCTGCTTGATTTACTAGAGGTCCTAAGGGAGTGTGACTGGGGGCAGAGGGGGGAGGAATCTGTGGATTTTTATAAGGCCAACTGAGCTAATATTGTAGGGGTTGAAACAGAAGCCAGTGTACCGAGCTCAAACATTTGAAGAGGGAGGTTGAGGAACCCCGAGTGTGGTGTGTAGGGGTTGGTCTGTCCCGGGGCAGAGCAAACGTCGTCTGAGGCGGGCAGCAGCAGAAGAAAGGACACATTGTGACCCAGCTCCAGCACCTCGTGTGTGTAAAGACGGAAGTGCTTGGCCTGTGTGGGACACACAGACACACACACAGACTTTAACTCACGAGGGTCGAAGGGTAACAATGTTATGCCATAACTAAGTAGCGAGCAAAAATTCCAAAACTCAGTAGTAGAGACAAAAAGTTACTCTTACAAATATTTACCATGGTAACCACAATTTATCTGTAGTATCTATAGTATAGTATAGCACAATTTATCTATCTATCTATCTATCTATCTATCTATCATCTTTCTGTTTGTCCATCCACCCGTCTATCTATCCATCTGTCTATCCATCCATCTATGCCCATCCATACATCCATCAACCTATCTATCCTTTCTATCTATTCATCCATCCATCTGTCTATCCATCTATCTATTCATCCATCTTTTTCTGTCCATCCATATATCCCCTCTATCCATCTATCTATCCATCCTTCTTTGTCTACCCATCCATCCATAACATCTGTCCCCTCTAACTACCCATTTATCAATCTCTTCTATCCATCCATCCATCTTTCTATCCATCCATGCTGCTATAGATTGTAAAATATTCAATCAATCAATCAATCAATATATCTATCTATCTATCTATCTATCCATCCATCTATCTATCTATCTATCTATCTATCCATCCATCCATTCATCCATCCATCCATCCATCCATCCATACAGATCTAAGTAATAAAATATAACTTTATTTTTTTTTTGATGATTGAGGTGCTTTACACCAAGATACCACAAACCTGTCCTGTAGACTGCAGTACCTGGTGGAGAGGTAGATTGATCTGGTGCAGCAGACTCTTAATGGCCGTCTGGAGCTCAGAGAAGAGGAGGCAGTCTGTAGCCTGATCTGCTCTTTCCACCTCCACAGGGCCAGACAGTGACTGCAGCCATTCCCACTCATTCCTGGGTGGGAAGAGACAGCATTTAGTCAACATACACACAGCTCTATATTACTGTTTCCAGTAGTGTCCTTGACAGAGTGGTTTCCAAAGGCTAGTGGGATGGCATGTCTGATTTTTAGGGTAAGGTTTAGTGAGATGCTTGTGGCCAACCACAAAAAACTCTTCCTTTTAATCTGAACATTTTACACCAAAAAAAGTTCTTAAATGTCCAATAATGCTAAAACAGGTGCCTAGAAAAGCAACAACGCTTGGGTATTTGTTGCAGAGAGAATTAAAAAATTGATTGCAAAGAGAATTTAAAAATAATTCTTACACTAATATCTGTGACAAAATATCCATAAATCCAAAGTATAGAGAAAACTAGAATTTTACAGTTAGGTAAAATGATTTAAAATTCATTTAACTTTCTATAAATTTCATAAAAACTGAGAGGATGAAAAGCATCAGTTCACAGTATGCGGGTAAGATGATGACGGGGCAAAATTAAGTAATTTGGTCTAAGTCTCAAGGACACCCTCAAGGCTAGTGTCTAGGGGGTAGGTTGGTGGAAAAAAAGGAGAATTTCTTTGCTCCAGAGGTTTTCCTCGAGCCGTGAGTGGGCATCGTCCTGTGTGAACCTCCCACTGACTTCCACAGTCCGGCCCCATAGTAAATTTAGTTTTACTACCACACAGAGCTGCAGGATAATACTCTCCCTGTCTCTAGCTACCTACCAAGGTCAACACCATGACCCGAGATGAAAATAAATAAATAGCTCCTTTACCGAACAAAAACAAATAGCAGTTTTGTTTTGACTGTAAAAAATGGTGGTGTCAAGAAACTATGTAAGCCTGTGGTGAGGGGGAGCCCGACGTGGAGTTCAGGCATATTTCAATCTTCTCAGGTACACTCACTCTGGAGAGCTCGTATTCGCTTCACCAGAAAGAAATATTAACTTGTTTCGGTGCTATAAAAGGTTCAAAACTGAACGTCCATATCAATAACATTTATTAAATTGCATAAGAGGTTTTTATGATGAGTCAAGATGTACATATACATTTGCTGGTATTTTGGTAAAAGCAATAAATGAATAAAAAAGGAGAAAATATTTATATGATTTAATTACAGCCTTTGAATACATGCTTTAATTGTCTGTCTTTGTCTGCAATCTTTATCCAATGCTTTTAAACCTAGGGTCTTTTTTCCTCCATATTTTTGAGATGAAAAAAAGAGAAAAGACTTAAAGAGAAAAAATGCTTCTGAGAACTGCTTTGTGAACTGCAAAATGCAGGCTGATTTGAGGAAAACATTTTCCCACAAGTTTGTGGGCCAAGCTATTGAAGCTTATTTCCACCATGGGATTTAAAAAATAAAAAAGGTAATTGGTCTTTTTATCTCACAGACTTTTTTTCTTGCAAATCTGAAATATAAAGAATTGTGAGATATAAACTCAGAATTCAGAATTCTTCTCTTGGAATTCCTTTTATATTTCAGTTTATATTTAGCAATTCTGACTTTTTTCTCAAAATTCTGAGTTTACATCTCACCACCCTGTTTTTTTTTGTTTGTTTCTGTCACAAAATCTCGATATTCTTTTTCTCAGAATTGCACAAAAAAAATTCCAACATGACATGAACTAAAAAGTGGCAATTACCTTTTTTATATCTTCCATAAGTAGCTCATGACAATAACAACAAAACTGGCAATGTGCATGTGCTCTACACCAGAGGTCCCCAACCACCGGGTCGCGACTCACTAACGGGCCGTGGAAGAATTTCTACCGGGTCGCAAGAACGTTCTGGGAAAAATGTGTATAGATATGACACAGTTATTTATTGCGTGTTAATAATTGTTCTTATTATTCAGTATTTTCGCTGCATGCGATTGATATGGAGTAGCAATTTGATGATTTCATGTTAAATAAGTAAATGAAAGATCTTTTCTGCTCTGATCTGTCACATATTAGAGCCTTATATTAGGGGTTAAACGGATCGATTAAACATATTTACACGTTCAAGCAATTTTAAACCACAAGAATAAGAAACGAAAGAGAGCTCAATTCGATACTAACGCGCTGTTCTCGCACACAATCAAAGCGCGCACAAGCATATAGAGACGTGTTTCAGACAGCGCAGAAATACCGAGTTGCGTAGGCTATATGTACACATAAAATTAGCTTATGTCAAAAACGCTTCACGGCATTGTCATTGAGCTTTAAATTTTTTTTTTTCTTGCTTATCCGAAAAAATAATCAGATCGGTG